AGGTCAACTCGTCGATGCCACATCCAGACACCAGATGCTCAGTTTCATGAATGCATACTCAGGGTATAATCAAATAAAGATGAATCCAAGAGACGAGGAAGCCACCTCCTTTCAGACAAATAAGGGTTTGTAGTGCTGCCAAGTTATGTCATTCGGGTTGAAGAATGTCAGTGCAGCCTATCAACGCCTCATGAATAAGGTCTTCAAAGACCTTCTTGGGCATACGATGGATGTGTGCATTGAATTGTGTTTCTGACTACTTCATCAGTACGACATACGTCTCAATTCAACTAAATGTGCCTTTAGAGTCACATCGGGGTAGTTCCTAGGATTCATGGTTGCTCATCGTGAAATTGAGGTAAACCCAGAAGAAATCAAAGCACTGAGAGACTAATGCCTCCAAGGAACTTCAAGGAGGTGCAACACTTGAATGGTCCTATAGTCGCCCTATCTCACTTCCTAGCTCGTTCTAGGGACATGTATCTACCATTTTTCATGACATTAAGAGGTGCTAATAACACTTACTTTCAGTGGAAAGATGACTGTCAAACTGCATTCGAGCAACTCAAGGCATATTTGGTTTCGCCGCTCCTCTCAAATCTCGTTCAGGGAGAGGTTGTATATTTATCTGGATATTTCACCTTACGCAATAAGCTCTGTCCTAGTCAGGGTCGAGAACTTCATCGAAAGACCAGTTTATTATGTCAGCAAGATTCTCTCTGACATAGAAAATTGCTACCCGTTGGCAGACAAGACTGCACTGGTCTTAGTATTTTCAGGAAGGAGATTTTGTCCGTACTTCCATACCCACACTATCGGCGTTTACACACAACTCTCTTTGAAGACTATCTTACAAAAACCAGAAGCATCATGAAGATTGGTTAAATGGTCAGTAAAATTGGAAGAATTTAACATTCATTATCTACCATGACCAAACAACAAATTACAAGTGTTGACCGACTTTGTGGTAGAATGTAAATGTCTGCTTCTGATGAGCCGTATTTTTTTTTTCTCTGCTGTCACCTCAGTGAACACTTTACATGGACGGAGCATCCAGAACTTTAGTGCCAGTATTGGAATACTGCTTATCTCCCCAAAGCAAGACAACTTGTAGTACGGGCTTCGCTTGAAATTTCCAGCCACCAATAATGTTGTCGTATGAATCCCTTGTTGCTGGATAAAACTCGCCATCGACTGTAAAATACGAAATATGATTGTCTATACTGATTCTCAGCCTGTCACATTCCAAGTAGAGGGAGAGTTTGACGCCCATAACTTACAACTGGTGCAATATGTCAATCTGGTGAAAATACTTCTCGCCTGAATTGAAACAAACCAGCTCATTCACATTTTCCCAGCATCCAACGCCCTTGAGTGATTATGCCTATAAATGACCCAAAGGAGCCACCTTGATGGGTCCCATCATCTCCTTCCTCAGAAACAAAATGTTGTCCGATGATGCTACTGCGTCAATTCGCCTCCGATGCATGTCCGCCAACTTTATTCTTATTGGGGATGAACTGTATAAAAAGACATTTGTAGGTGCATACCTCAAGTGTCTTCTCTCATCTGAAGCTGATTAAACCCTACAAAAGGTTCATTCTAGAATATGTGAGGATTATCTTCGGGGTAGAGCTCTTGCCGTCAAAATAATGAGAAATGGTTTCTATTGGCACATGATCAAGCAAGACGCTTTGAACTTTGTGCAAAAGTGCAATAGTTGTTAACTACACTGCAATCTACACATATATTATCAGTAGAACACATCATTTCTGAGTCCTTAGTTTTTTGCCCAATGGGGGGTTGATATCATTGGACCGTTTCCAATAGCTATTGGACAATAAAAATTCATCATCTTATTTTTTGGCTACTTCACCAAGTGGGTAGAAGCCGAGCCGTTCTCTAAGATCACTGAAGCCAATGCCAAGAAGTTTGTCTAGAAAAACATTGTTTGTTGCTTCGGGCTCCCCATGAAGATTATCACTGTAATGAGACTCAATTATCTGGAAGGTCTTCATGTCATTCATGTTGAGAGAGAGGGAGAGAGAGAGAAGAATAGGAAAAAAAGTGGTCGAAGCGAGCCACTATTCATGTTGACATCCTTCAGAGTGATTGCTAATAGACAAATCACTAATGCAAATTACAAAAATAACAAGAAGATAGAGAGTTGAATGGGAAGAGAAGTGGTCGAAGGTGGAATATTTCTCTTAACATTTTTTTCACATTTCTTATTGTAATTTTTGTAATTTTGTTGAGTAGTGATTTGTCTATTTGAAGTCACTCTGAAGCAATGTTTTAAAAATCTGATCCGACCGACCAGTTTGACTGTGAACCAGCAACTAGCCCGGCTTTAAAAGCCCCAAAAATTGTTTTAGGCTTCAAGCCGAAAAATGATCTGTTCGATCGACAAACCAGTTCACCCAATTTAAGCACAATTCCTCTCTTAAAACCTGTAAAAGGCTAAAAGCCCTAAATCCCTGCGTGATTCACAATCCATCCACTTCCCTCGCGGTCGAAGACATAACGAAGGTCTCCAAGGCCCGAACCACAAAATTGTCGCTTTCAAAGGCTCGAAGCTCTTCGCTTCTCTTTACCTTCCCAGTTCTTGGCTTTGTGTAGGCATTTGAAGCTCTCGTTCGAAGCAAAGCCAGAGTTAAACACCACTGTAAGAATTTTTTATTTTTTGTCTTTGGGCTTCCCTTTTTCTTCTTTTTTCAATAATCAAATCCTCTAATTGAGGACTTATATACGTTTCTTTTATTAGTTTTTGTGGTTTGCAGTTTGCGATTTGCCTTAATTAGATGAAAAAATATTCAGGTTTATTGTTGTTTTGTTTAGGCTTATGGCATTCATGCCTTAATTTAACTTAATTTTATCCCCCCGTAGAAATGAGGTATGTATTAAATTGTTTGTGCTGTTCTATGATGACTTTGGGTGCAGTTGACTGGTTCATTTGAGCTCGGATTCTTGGTTTTTTTTTTCAATAGGTAATGGTAGTTATTTTTTATAGAATAGATTTAGTGGCTGGGTTGTTCAAGTTTTTTTTTTTATTTGTTGGCTGTAGCTCCAATTTTTTATTTTGCTTTCACTATATTTTTTATAGAATGTGCTCTAATTTTAGGAGAACATTCTGTTCGATATATATATATGTTATGGAAGATTTACATATTTAACTTCTTATTTATGTATGAAAAGGTGTTTTTCCATTTTAGAAGTAAAAGTAGTGTTATTTTTCATGTGTTATGAAAAATTTGGGTGGTATGAAAGTAAGAAAGTAATGTTTATGTGTTAGATATGTAAACACATAAGAATTGTGTGGTATCTATGTAAATGCCCCATCGTTGGTCTAAGATTTTACTTTAATATGATTAATGACTCATTGGTGTTGTGCTTATAATTTTGCAATTTCCATTTAAAATTTAAATATTTGTTATTTATATTTATTATGTCATCCGGTTCAACGCCGGTTAAACCGATGAACCTCGAACATTTCTTTCTTCCAGTTTGATATTCGGTTCGGTTTTCAAAACCTTGCTTTGAAGGGTGTGAACATAAATCCCCTTGAACTAGGATGATCAACATGAATAGTGGCTCGCTTTGGAGGGAGTCCTTGCACATTGCTTTTTTTTATTTTTGTAATTTGCATGAGTAGTGATTTGTCTAGTTGTAGTCACTCTAAAAGGTGTCAACATGAACCCACTTGAACTAAGGTGATCAACATGAATAACGGCTCGCGTTGGAGGGGGGTAGAATAGGAAAGGAAGTGGTCGAAGAATATTTCTTTTAATATTCTTTGCACATTGCTTTTTGTTATTTTTTAAATTTGCTTGAGTAGTGATTTTTCTATTTGCAGTCATTCTGAAGGGTGTCAGCTTGAACCCCTTGAGCTAGGGTGATCAATATGAATAGTGGCTCGCTTGGATGTGGCACTCATATGAAGGATAGCACATCCATTAAGGATACATGATGATGTAAATTACGGTTCCATGATTTGAGCATACCTAAGGACAAATAGAGATGAACTAATAAAACGGATTGTAAATAAAATTACTTAAATGGAAAATGAAATGGCCAAATCAAATGCTTCACAGTTATGAGCTAGGCAGATTTGAAAAGCATCATGAGATTAGGATTACCAAAGTCTAAATGCTACATGGCTATATATTCCATTCATTTTTATTAAAAACTGTTTTTTATAACTTTTTTCTGATTCAACCTTGAAGTGAGAGCACTTGTTGCATTTTAATTATCCTAACTAATAATTAACTCATTAACGATAATATTATCTTGTAGTTTTCTATCCACTTTCTCCTTTCATATTGGTAATCTTTCATATGTACATTAGCTTTTATCCTTCATTTGAGTTTTTTTCCTCTTCTTATTTAGTTCTTACAAATATGTGATATTTATTATCTTTTAATCATTTATTCCCCACTTCTTGAGCCTTTTATTTACTAAATATAGTAAGTTTTAGTCAAACGATTCCTAGTTTTTCATCAATGATTCCTAGTTTTTCATCACGATTAAGTTAAATTTGAAGTTGTAGTCTATGTTTTATCTTATTTCATCATTATCATCTTATTGCCTCACGTCACTTTTGAGAGTGCACCATAGCATCAGTAAATAACACCTATTAAATTGAATTTATTTCATGGAATTTTGGCCTTAATTTTACCATCAGCTATTATTAACTATTTTTATTTGAGCTTTGAATGATAATGAAAGTTGTAATCATAATTATAAGCTATCTGACATTTGATATTAGTCTGTAATATGTTTTTGTCGATAGAAATCTTAATGTAATCAATTAGTAATTTCCACTGCTTTCTCAAATACATCCAACTTCCTGGAAAATTATCTTCAAGGATTGCCTTATTTTTAATTCACTTGAAGCAGCAGCAGCAGCTCTAAGTACTCTTTCTCACATCATTCATATCCCAAGAACTAACTTCAGAATTTTGTTGCACTTATTACCCTTCCCAATGTGTTGCACTATACAGTTATGAAGCCACTTCTTCAAGTAGGAATCGCAGCCTTTCAAAGGAAATTGCAACCGCTGCTCTTGCTTCAGTATTCTTGGTATTTAAATTCACATTGCCACAATTTGATTTAATACATCTAATCAATCAGCAAAATTTTCTAGAAATTAAGCAGCACTGACTATTTTCTCTTTTGTTGCTGCAGGGTTTTGGATCGCTATTTCTTCTGTTGGCAACAGGTGTTTATGTTTGATCTTTAGAAAGATATTATTTGCTTTATTATGCTTTGCAGTTTCCTAATCTCGAGAAAAAAAAAACCCTATAAATTTAGTTGCATGAGGATGGGGGAAACACTTTGAAATCTGGCTCATTTGGTAGATTTTTGTTTGTTCTTTTATTACATCTATACATTGCCTCATCAGATTCTGTTACTCAAATGACATTTGAGTAGATGAGTATTTTGCTGCTGCATTATGGGATGCATGAGGCCTATCATTTCAAATGAAAGTCTCATTTGACTCTGGGTGTGTTCAACTGCATGGTGGTGGGTGTTTATTTTATGGGGCATTTACATACATTCCACCGAACTCTTATGTATTTCAATATCTGACACCTAAAGTCTACTTTTTACATTTATATCACCCAAATCGTTCTTATTAGAAATAAAATAACACAATTTTAACTTTTTAAAAGTGAAATACATATATGTAACGTGCATGTGATTGTTAGATATGTAAATACATAAAAATTGGTATGTGCATGTAAATCTTCCTTATTTTATTTATAAGATTAAATCATCTATTTAAATTGATGTCATTTTCTTTATGAGCCCTATATGGTTGACAAAATTTTGATTGAAGCCAGGTGATTGCATGTCTGCAAAATGATAATTGATTTTTTGTCCATTGCTAATGTTTATTGTGAATTGTAATTAGCATTGATCAATTTTAGAACAGGATTTAAGTGCCACCTGCATGAAGATAGAACCGCTTGCGAATACAATATTTGAAAATTTACATAAATGCCTCATTATGTATTTCATATCATCTTTTATAATGTGTAACCCAATGTTCAGTCTGGATAATTAATATCATGAATTTGTATTTTATTTATTTATTATTATTATTTTGTTTTTTTTGCTAGTAGATATATCACGGTGATTTTGCAACAGTTCCACCAGAGTTGAGATAGATTATGCTTTTAAGCTCTAAATCCGAGGTTTTGATTTTGATTTGGATCAATTGCAATCAAGTAGAAGTGATTTGGATCATCTAATTATAGGTATGGTAAGGCTTAGGAGGGGATTACCCATTAGCTTTATATATACCTTCATGCAGGTGATGTCAAATTAAGTGCTAAAGTTGGCGTTGGAGATAATTTATTAATATTATGCAAGATCTTTTACATGAATAGATAAAGTTTAAAATATCACTTGCAAATCATTATGTGCTAACATGTTCATGACCATGTATGGCGATTGGTGGAATGGCGGATAAAGGATGAGCTGATATTGTTTGGAGACAGATGATGGTGGTCATATATATGATCCCATGCAGATTTTATTTCTAGTGTGCATGTTTGATTTTTTTTTTTTTTTTTTTTTTTGGGGGTTTAGAGTTTTTCTAGAGTTTGTCAAGATTAGTGTTTCATCAAATAATTGTTCTAATAAATTTGAATTAAACTATATGCTTAAATCACGTCTCTCTTCCATTTTCAAATTATTTTCAAACTACATAAACTGCAAACACAAATTATAAAATGGAAAATGCAAAGCTTCTTTTTTTTTTTTTTAATTATTTTTAGAAGAGAGATTTAGAAACACATGTAAACATATATAATGTTGTGATGCCTAAATGATGTAAAAGCCTATACATGTAGAAACATTTCACGTTAAATAGATTAATATTTTTTATATTTTTATGTTTTATAATATTATACAAAAAAATAAATAACTAAGCATCAAACCTATAAATAGGAGTGTTTAATAAATAAATCCCCTCTACGAATATTTTTGGCTGGAATCGGGTTCTAGACTTTTCTAGTCGGAGATATGTTCAACGACATTGCATGGTAACAAGTTCTCTAGAGACCAGTGGGATTTTGTATATAGCAGCAATCTTGCAAGGACATGCTTATTAGTGCTAATATGGGAGTCTCACTGCGTCTTTCTCATTTATTCTTGGTATTTAGAAGTTTCAAGATTTTGGGTTGTTGAAGCAAATACATTGATTTGAGTAAATGAATGCTTTTATATATTGTATGGTTGAATAATGCATCTATACTATGGGAGGTCTACTCGCCCCCAACTCCCATGAGATCAAATCACACAAGAATATCAACCCGCCCTATAATTGGAGAGATTATTGCGTCCGGACGCGGGCGTACGTAATAATTTTTCTGGCCTTACCAAAAAGCTAAACCTGAGAAAATAAATTTTATATGAAATGGTTATATTCAAATACCTAATTCTAAAATCACTAATATTCAAATGAAGGCATTACCAATATGGAATTTTCAAAAACACCAACAATCACTTGTATTCAAATATAAATCAAATCCGCATACAAACATACATTATAAGTCACTCAACTTTTAAAACATAAATTCTAAAATCACTAACAAACTAATAAGTAGACGAGCACTCAAAATATTAGAAAGCTTACAAGCACACATCAAAGAGCATTATACTAGGCTAATATTAATTTTAATGCCCCAATCAAAAGAAGGCGAGTTATAGATCAAAGATTTCCCGAAATTTGTCTATAATGGTAATTTGATTTGTAATGTATAAGCCAAGGTGATTACTATATTGTTTGAAGAGGAAACCAATATATTAAAAAAAAGCTCAATTTTCACTCATTTTTATCCTTTTATCCGTTTATCCTAGTTCAAAACCCTCCTTATTTCAACTTTCTTTGATTGTGTGAATTCACAGACAAATGATGCAACATTTATGTATGTCATTTTGTAAAAATTCTAAAATGTCATTTAACTATTTACAAAATCATATGGATATAGTTTGTTTATTACATTACAGGTAAAATTAAGGAAATAAATACAACATCCGGAGAGGCATCTTCTTTGAACGCATAGAATAAAAAATATATATAATCCCGAAATTCCCAAAAAATATAAAGAAAAAATAAAATGAAAAAAGAAGATCACCCAGACCGAAGGGAGATCAGACATATACTCAAAACCCAACCATCATTTTCCATCACTGATGAAATGGCATGCCTTGAAAACTTACTTCAGAAGCTCATATTTCAGAAGTGAAAGGGTTCGTTGTTAGAACCATACCAGACCTTCCAGATTAGAATGTATAGAGTCAGAATCTTCACGCGTCCTCTTCAGTCGGCAGAGTTGGGCTCTGAGAACACATGCTGATATTGTGCAGCTCCCTTACACGAACTGCAGGGTTACACAAACCTGCATAATTGCCTCGACATTTTAAAACAGCATAAAAGTCTGCCTTGCTGGAGATCCAGTACATAAATTAGTAAGATAAAATAGATGCAAATGATGTCTAATCATTTAGATATCATATCATTACAAATTCAGTGTTGTGAAGTGATTTTTCTGATTACTAAGTTTTTAGTTTAGTGATTTTTCTGATGCAATGAAGATTTCATAAGATTTACGAATCATCCATTATATGAAGAAACAGGTGCTCTAGTGACTTTGGTGAGCCAAGTTGTGTAGTTCAACCTCCTTGTATTATTTTTTGGAAGATTTACATATAAAACAATTCTTATGTATTTACATATATAACACCTGAACTTTGATTTTTTTCTTTTACATTTATAGTAATTATGTATGAAAATAAAATTTAATAATAGTTATATTTTTTATGTATTATGAAAAATTGGGCGTATGAATCTAAAAATAAAAGTTTAGGTGGTAGATATGTAAATGGATAGGAATTGTATGGTACGCATGTAAATGTCCCTACTTGCATTCCCCAAACTATGTATGTCTTACATCTACCCTCCTTTCATATCCTCTTTGAATTCATGGCTAGCTCCCCACACTATTTTCAAGGCCATTATACCGCTAATGTTAGTTAATTATGAGTATTTCCTACATTATATGGTTTTAGAATTATTGGTACGGAATTGCTCATTTGGTTTCTACATTTTCTATGCACTGTTGATTTTCACAAGCCCCGCTCACTAGAATACAAGAAGCGATAAACATTTATGACAACAAAACACCCACCTCATACCCATTTATACCCTTGGCCTTATCCTAAACATCCGCTAAAAGATGAAGTGATTCAATCATATGCTGTTCCAAGTGGAAATAAGACTGTTCTCGGCCAATATTTTCCAAAAATAATTTCTAATGGTATTATGGAGTATGGCCATGATTTCATCAGCTTGGAATTCCATAAATAAGATATGATTCCAAAATATATAATTCTTTATTTCTTTCTTAGTCCCAATCCTTGTATAGCCTTGTTTAATCTTTATCAGAATGAAGAGACCACAAATATCATCCATGCACCAAGTAGAGGGGTTGTAGAGGATGGCGTAAAAGTTCCAATGCCAAAATTACAGTTATAATGTCTACGCACCACTCACAAGGCATGGAGAAAATCTGGCGAAGTTGCTACTGCAAAGAATCAAATTGATGAGGCTGCAAGAATCATTGATGTTTTTTCTAACGAAGTTATAAGTTGTGTGGAATATGAAGAATATTTGTTGATGAGACTGTTGCTCCTAAGAATGAGTTGATGATATTCGACAATTGGGACACCCAGATATCTCATCCACGTCTAAGAAAGTATATATGAGAAAGACCAACTTCCTATGAAATCTGAAGAAGATAACGGGGAAGATGATGTTATTGTGAATCCAACAGCTTACCTCTCTGAAGAGGTGCAAGCATCCCGGCATGTGAAATATTTGGTACAACTAGTGAAGAAAAAAAACGTGTTATTGAAGAAATATGCATTCGAATAATTGTTCAATTTCTCATTTGAAGTGCATAGTTTCTCAGAGCTTAAGAAATCGCTCACTTCAAAAGGTTGAAGGAAATCTTAGCTACCGCAAATGCTCCTGTGATGCATGCTCCCCGAGCTGTTAATATCGATGAATTAACTAATGAGATTGTTTGTGACCAATAGAAATTGGATGTCTTGGACCAATTGTAACAGCCTAGACTTGAAGACAATGCAAAAGAAGTTTCAGCTTTTAAATCTGACTCAAAAGATATTTAAAACAATGCGAATACCCATACATATGGAGTGAATTTAACGAGACTAAGTTGTCACAAAATCCTAAGCAAACGACTTTGGAAGCATGGCGAAGATCGAGTATTTGAAAATAAAAATTCTTTTTGTTCATGACTTGGATATCACTAGGCTGATAAATTACTAGAATCCAATTTCTTGGCGAGGTATCCAAATAAATCCTAGGAATGAATGTTTATTGTGAGATAAGATAATACCCTTGGCACCTGAGATTGCTCTGATAAAAGGCTATAAATAGAAAAGTATTGAGCAACTCCTAAAGAAGTTGGAGAATCTGAGAAGTGGCCTTCATTTGATGATCAATTCAAGCCATACTTCCCAAAATACAAACGACCTTGGCATGGTTAAGCTATTTTGTATCTTTATTCTCTTTATTGAACAACGGGATGTAGCATCCTTTTTGTAGATGAATCTATCTTGATTCTCTTTATTGAAAAACATGATTTAGCTTCCTTTTTGATGGATGAAGCTATATTTTTCTGATATATTTATCTCTAAAACTTGTCACTAGCACAATCAAACATGTTTTTAAAATAATAAGCAGTATATGATGGCCAAGAGAGACGGAGAATTTTTTAGAGAAAGAATTAGAAGTTCTTAAAAGAAAATAACAGTTTTCTGAGAAGAATTCTAGGATTAATTTCTTTATTGGCTGAAATAATGGCTGATATATCCAAATGACTCTTCCTAGTGAAACACTAGTGTCAGAATCAAATTTGAAAGAATTACCTACAGTTGACAAAATCATAATAATTGCTGAAGGTGCAGATATTGATTTTGATGTTATTTTACCTAAACGTAGTATAGTTGGGATACTTGGATCTACTTAAGCATCAGTGTTATCAATCGAGCTGGGAAAATTTGAGCTCAAGCAATTGTCAGCTGTAGGTAATTATTCATTTGTGCTTTCAACTGTATGACTAGCAGGCTAAAGGGGGAATTTAAAGCCGCCTGCAATGTTTCCTACAGGAACCCCAAGAAGATCCGTATGCTGCAGAAATAAACCTATGAAGTCGAGAATAATTGGAGAGGTTGGGAGAAAGTTTGCAACGATATTGAAAAGATACTAGCCCAAGAGTGATAACCCATGACCAAGAAGCAGTTACAATACCAGCCTAGCTCCAGCAAACCATAAAGATGGTGTTGAAATCAGCACTGACACCTCAAATTTTGTAATCATGATTTCTTATAATTAAAATTTCCTACATTTCAATGCAACCACATTCACTGTCACTATAAAATAATGGTATAGGAGGAATGAAGCACAATGAATGATTCGGCATCAATCATTTTGAGAGACTGCCTCATATACTGAAAGACGAGAATCAAAGATTTAGAGAGTAGGGGAGCTAGATAGGGGAGATTGAAAGGAGAGTTTTGTCTTCCTCCTGTATTTAACTAGTTCTTCTATTAATGAAACATTAGTTTATTGCTCTAAAAATGAGAATCTACATCAACCACTTATATCCAAATTTAACTTGTTTGACATGTTCGGATCTCGTTTGGTGTCATGTGGGAGAGTTTTAAATCACAATGGCATGTGAAGGAATCAACCTAAGCAAATGGTAATCAGCATGAAATAGGGGATTCCACTGCAAAGACAACTAAGATTCCAAATCAGCAGAAATTACAACCATAAGCTACACTACTCACCAAACTATGGTAGGAAACAAGAATTACACTAGATCTGAACATAGAAGTATTGAACTAAGAAATCCAAAAACCAAAAGTAAGGATATGTTGAAGTAAAGAATCAAATAGGTGCTGAAGTAGGGAATTGAAAGAAATTGCACTGGGGCGTCCTTTGAGAGCTGAATCTAGACAACTTGTAGTAGAAAATCAAATCCAGAAAGTAAACAAAATAGTATAAAATAAATCTTATTCTCATAGGCATCAACATCATAGAACATTAGAAAAAGGAAACAACAAATAAAAACATAGACAATATTATCACACATGATTTAACATCTCCAATAAATGAAAACTTCCAAATTTGCATCACCTTTATTTCCAATAATGCTTTCTAGGGGATGCAAAATAATTGCATTATGAGTATATACTCAACTACATACCTTTAAGATCAACTCGCCTCATACACTAAGAAATAAAGGGTAGTAAATTTAGCAAATTTGCCTTTAAACTTCAATTCAGTACATAAAACACTTTGAATATCATCATGCTATTTTTTGACTTCATAATAGCGACTGATGGGCAAAATGAAAATGGAAGGAATATGATGTGTTAAGAGTGTGCAAACCAAATCCACATGAATGAAAATTTTACATGACATGCGGGCAAGTAATAGGGAAAAAAAAAAAGATTCTTTTCACCTGAACATCTTGGTATATCCCATATAGCAATTGAACTGGGTGTACATTTGGGATCACATATTGCCCGGTTATCTTCATGATTGACATTCATAGCAAGCATCCAAGAACCTATGGTTACATCCTCATTGTCGAACATTCTCAGACTGATGCATTTAGAAAAACAAAAGGAGAAAAGAATATTCAATAATAAGATAAATAATTAAAAAAGACATATTCCCACAATGCACCATATGGTAGTCTTCTAGCCCAGATAGAATACCCTGTAAAATGGGCGATAAAACCTAATAGAGGGTAATCACTAGAAAGAAAGGCTATAATTTTGCTTTTTTGAAGTTGACTTTTCTATGAAAAAGTAGAGGGTATGCTGGTTATATTTCAAACTTATTTAATCACCCAAAAAAAATCACATATACTTAAAATGAATGCACTTCATGCAGCAAAATGACATAATTAAATATTAAAAGGTATGCATGTTATGTCCCAAAATGATCTAGTCACCCAAATTTTTTTTTAAAAAAAAGAAGAAAACAAAACTCCATATCCACTTGACATATGTTCAAGGGTTGAATAAGAACCTAATTTTAGCAAATATTAGGCAGCTTCAGGGAAATCTATTATACAATTCTAATGTCCTTTTATAATTAAAAAAGTTCTTTGGTATTATTCCACTAATTGTTAATTTCAAACACCCAAACATAAAAGATGGAAAAAGCAGAGATTTTTTCTTTTGGGCTCCCTAACGCAATAGGGTTTTAAACAATGGCATGTCCATCGGAGTTAGAATTGCCTTTCAACAGCACAACCAGTTACAATGAGTCAGATTGTGAATTTAAATGCCCCCATCTCCTACCAAAACAAAACATGAATTCAAAGAGGCTGGCCTACATAAATGGTGTCTTTTTGAACAGAAAATTGCTGACTCGAACACTTAGAATTAATATCAGATATAATAAAAAATAGTAACTGAACTAACCTTTCATTTCTTGCTTCTGCAAGAGAAGCTACCACCTCTGCAGACAAGGCATATATTGGACCATATGCATGAAGGAAATATTCATTCCCAAGAAGATGACCAGAGCTTTCATACCTTAATTTACAAATTAGAAAAAAGAAAAATCAGTTCATTGTTTACTATCAAGAGCATCATATTGTTGAAGAACAGAAAATTAAATAGCAGCAAAGTGTGCAGCACATTTGGCCTAATAGTTGGGTGCTTTTATTTCCCAGCCATAAATTCTTGAGATCAAGGCCCACATACCATTTCAACTTTGGATTCGTTATTATTGGGCCCTTTTTCATGCAACCAATATAAGTGCGGTGATGGGCACGATCCTTAGCCAAGAGAGTAGCAAGCCGGTCTAGTTGATGATAACATAGAGCATTACAGTGTGGAAAAATAACAGCAATGCTTAAAAACCAAATAGCATACCAGGTCTAAGATAAATATCATCATCTGCCTTCACATAAAATTCTGCATCAAAAAGATTGAATGCTGCTTTGAAAAATGCCAACCTAAAAGGTAGAGTTTGCACTTGTGACATGTGACATGGGTAGCAACAAAAATCAAGAAACAAGAGGCCCTCAACCCTTACGTTTTATAAGGCAGCCTTGCATACTCTTCTTCTACATCAATAAACATGAAATCATGATAATTCTCCTCTTCTTTCTTAAGATCAGCCATTTTCTTTCTATCTTTCGTTCGTCCAATAACAAATCTGAAAGCTAATCCAGTAGACTGTTCTAAACTGCAAACAAGCAATAAGAAGTCAAAATACCGATGTAGTATACCATATTAAAAAAAAAAAAATCCTAAAAACTTACTAACAAAAGTAGAACAGTGAATATTTAGATAATCCTGTTATAGCATATGGCCTCAAGTTTAATTAGTGGCATGACAAGTATTTGTGGTTTTGCTACACTCAGCTTAAAAAAATGGACATAAATAGGCGCTCAGTCATAGTTTTATGTATCAAATAGCTGTGGCGCACAGTTCAAGTAAACATTCGTCTTGCTTTACAGCTTGGTCTTTCAAGAATGCATATTAAAGAGAAGTATAATGTATCTTCTAATCCCTGGGGCAGCCTGCTAGCTTCCATCTTATCCATTTGATTGAAAAAAATCTAAGAAAAACCCATCATAAAGTAAACAAATCGTTGCAATTTATACAAAAAAGAAAGACCTAGCATTCATGTGAAGCCGGAAATCAACATATTCTCATCCAAGTTGCTGTCTGTTAACATTAAGCAATCAACAAATAGGCATCTGATAATCACAAACACGCACACAAATATACACGGTTTGTCAGCCCCAGACAAACACAATTTTTTAGCATATTACTGATGACATAAATGACAAGTTAAGGTTATTCATAATTAGTAAATAAAGAATCATGATGACACCGTTTTAGGGCTGCTAGAAAATGTTTAGGAAGAGGATTTAATAGGGAAGTGGTCGTGGAATAGGAAGTGAAAATATGGGGCATCGACGACATTTGAATGAGGATATAACAGATAGAACAAAAAAAATGGTGGTTCTAATGAGGCGCGGTTGCCAAGAGGAGTCCCCCCATATTTATGAGCAAGATATAGATACACCACTTGCAAAAGAAAGATGATATAATACTCTAGAGAGCATAAATCAGATAATAAAGTCTCCAAAACACAAAATCAATAGCTAAAGTCTCAAAATAACAAAAGAACATATACATAATCTCCAAATAAAAATAACCCTAACTAGAAATAAAGATATAGGAAAAAAATCATTAAAGGAAAAAAAATATTGCTGACACCCACATTACATAACCTAACCCATAAATGTAACAGCTTTCATGAAGTAGCACCGCTGACATGATGATGAACTTTTATTCATTTTTAAAGGTATGGACTGGAAAAATTCAAACAAACAAGCCATATGAATATGAATTAAGAGTCCATATATATCAGGATAAACCTTTCCATAAACAGCCTCATAAACATTTACCAGTACTAAATGAGGAAAAGACTAAAAGAAATTATTCATACATGGCTTTGAGAATAGCAGCTCTCTTTTAGCAAAGATTAGTCACCAAAAGAAGTCACAAATTTCCAAATATTAATTCATATTCCAAAAAATCTGAAATCTCACAAGAAAACTCAAAAATGAATATAAAATTCAGCAATGCCAAAGATTCACACCACAAATAAGTAAATTGTCACGTATCACAATTGACAAAATTGTAATCACACAGAACAATAACTAAAACAATTTAGTAGAACAAGGATAGAAATTACTAAGGGTAGATCTGGGCCGCACACTCAGAAGAAGTCATCAAGGTTTGTGTCAAAAGATCTACTTCTAACAACACAAGAATTGAGAAGAACTAAACTTAATTTCACCATATATGTTTCAAAAGAATTTAAATACCCCAAGAGCACTACAAACAATCCAAAAAGAACACAAAATAAGCAAATCCTCAAAAGCCTCTAAGATCCAATAAAAAACTATTAAAGTTTCAATTTTGCTAACAACAAATTGTACAAATAAACTTTTGTTTTCCCATTTTTTGCATTGTATATGGTCGTATAAGGAAGCCCATAAAGAGACGAGAATACCTAGAAGGAGAAATCGTTCCTAGACAACAGCCAATGGAGCAAACAAGAGAATCCACAAGCAAAGCGTTAGGAAACCAGCAAGTGTAAGGGAAACTGTAGCAGGAGTGTAAGAAAAACATGCAAAGAAGCATAAAGGGTAAATGCAAAGGAACTTGAACAAAAGCATATCTCCAAACAATAGAAGTGCATTATAGGAAAAATTGCAAAGTGGCCGGAGCATATAATGATTGAAGCAACAATCCCAAAAGCTATAGAAGGCAAGAAAAGCATGTCAAATACACAGTCGATTGAACCTAAAATCTCAAGGAAAGGAAACTAGCCTTCAGTTGCACCATTCCATCCAATTTGAAAGTATTTGGCTCTGATAAATGAATAGGTGATATTTGTCATATAAGTATGGGTAAAACTATTGTACTTCTACAAGATAATTCATAAATCATCATAATTAAGTATGTCATCCCAAGACACAATAAATATATGATATATCCACCATCAAAGGTGGACACAATACACGTATATGACATAGCTTATGAAAGGAGATGAGTAAAATTATTTGGTAAAGAACCGGAAGTGAATTCATAAGAAGATGAAAGGAGATAAAATTCAATGGCATTAGTCACGTGTCTATGAAATAAAGTCAAACTAAATATATTAAAATTTGAAATAATATTAGAGCTTCCTGAAATTTTCATTTCATAAGTATTTATCTCAATGTGATAAAAATTTTATATGGCTTCGTCTTTCTGATACTTGATTTCTTCATGATCCCTCTATGAAGCTTTTAGGATTCAAAAGCATCATAACTTTATTACCCAGCTTGAATTCCACATGATTCATAATCACATCAATGTTAGATTTAAAGCTCTTATAATTAGCAGTTAGTTTCCTATGCATAAAAGCAAACGATATAAAACCAGTAATGAATATGCTAAAATGTAACATGTGTCCTAATAGATAGTAGTAATGATTTATAACATATTCTTAGATAAAAAGATTATAAAGATAAGGAAAAATAGGTAAACCATACAGATACAACATAACTATATGCATTAACAACTTTGATTTAGCACAAGAATATCAAAATAGAAGAAGTTGATTCAACTTGGAAAGCATTAATTTGTCTTAATGAATGAATGAATTCCCAAAGTATTATATAAAAATATTCAAATCATAAATGCATAGCCGTATAAAAGCTTATTATCCTAATTACCTTGTTATTCTAAGAAAAAAATAAGTTGGGCCAAATAGAGATTTTGTATGCATTATCATCATATTTAATTATAATTCTCATTAAGTCCACGCATGATGATATGGATGTCATGCCATTAGCCCCTTTTTGATTTTTTTACCAAAATTGGAGATTATATGTACATGAAAGTTATGTTTGAGATCTCCTTAGTGTAACTCCCCAAATAAATCAAGAACAATAGAGAGAATTTTGCCCAATTAAGGGGATGAGAGAAAGTTCAAGTGATGAAAATCTACCCTTATTTGACATAATGTGATGAAATGAAGATACAAATGTTATACTTCATATATTTATGTAACTTTATTTAAATTTGATTCTTCACAAAATTTTATGCCTCTTTGTGCTCCTATGGCTTTCACTTTGCTTCATGATGTAAATCTTATATATAGCCTTATAAATGTAGAATATAGCACACAACTTTTGAAATATAATTTAAGATGACTCCCTTTTCTCCAATTTTAACTACATGGCAAGTTTGTCAGCTTTTCCTTTGATGAATTTGAGAGTAATACTCATACTTAGAGCGTAAGATCGTAATGCAATTGCTTTACTGCTAGTTCTCTTATGATGTACGTGATCTTCCCAAACTCTTCAAAGCTAAAACATCATTTCATCAAAACTCTTTAAGAAAAGCCAACCTAAACAACATCATTTCATCAAAACTCTTTAAGAAAAGCCAACCTAAACTATGTCGGAAAGAAAAGTACGCAAAACATCCAAGCCAATCAGAACTATAACCCCAAGGAAAGAAAATGCTATAACAAGGCTTGATTTGCATCATAATAACCAACCTACACACAATAAAGGAAACTTATAATCATGTGTTATTTAGGAAACCACATTTCACATGCAGACCTAAAATGATTCACATATTCAATAACTTACTATAGATATATCTTGCAAGAAAATGCAAAAATCACATGGCAAGATTGGGGGGGCATTAAAAGTGGAGATATTAACTTTGTTAGGTGTTCACGACAAATACACAATTAATATGCTAGCATATGAAGTAGACAAAAATTTTTAAACAAGCTTTCCTAATAGTTTCATTATTGCCAGCTCTATTATGGCCTCTTACTACATTGAGCATCCGCTACAATTAGGTATCATATCAGATGAAACCACGGAAGCCCAAGGGGCGTGGCAAGGGTTCCCTACATCTTCCAGTTTTCCTTGACTACATTTAATACTAAATATACACCCACAGAATCATTGTTTCCTTCCAATTGTTATATACATAGTTCTAAACTAAAAAAGAAAAAAAACTAAGAATCTAAGAAAATGAGTTGACAGCACCCCAATTTTTAACAAGCGATGAAAGGGCTAGTTCATCACCGACTAATCTTGTAAGTTATATCAATAAATTCTTTCTTCTACTTAATGAAGTCGCTTTCCTGCCCTTCTCTCAACCCCTACATCCCTTCATACAACTCTAGTAATTGTTCCAAGCATTTAATAATACAATAAATTCTACGTAATCCTTCAGAAAACTCATTTTGGTGATCACAAATTAGATTTGATTCACGTTAACTAAGCAATATGTTACACTGATTAATTATAACAGAAAATGAAGGCCTTCCATTTTAACAGTAAAAAAATCATTACTTTCCACTTGGAGAAGAATTTATTTATATTTAAGCATATAATGTTATTTTCAAATGTTTTCTCAATCCCTAAGATACAAAGCTTAGAGCTTTTGCTTCATTTTCAATTTCTTTCTTTTCGAACACCCGGCCGAAATATTTCTTTCCTAGAAGTGATAAGACTTGAGGATGTGTTATATAAGAATTCGAAGAACAAATAGATACATTTCCTTTAAATTCCTTGGAATCCGCTTATTCTCCAAATGAAGAGGGAATATTAGCTTGGCACATGTTTCATTTAGCAAGTGTTTCCTTATTCACCC